ATATAATAATTAAATTTACAATATAATATTTATTATATTATATATAATCTAAGAATGCTCTATTCCGTTTTTATATTTGTTATATATATAAAAAATAAATTAGACTAAAATTTTTGTACACAGGTATCATCATTTCTTACAGTAGAAGTGCACTCAATCAAGGCTTCATCACTTCATTCCAAGTTATCTCATCTGATTTTGTCTCATTATGATTTGGCCAGTACTACAGTGACAGGTATACCCATGAAAGAGGAGCAGAACGCCAGTTCGTCTGCTAATTACGATGTGGAGATATTTCATTCTTCAGCTGCACATACTGCCATTTTGAAAGGTTTTAGTTAAAAGAATTTCTTTTCCAAAAATCTTTAAATTCCTTTGGATATCATAAAGTTTTATTGATTGATTATAGGTAATCCGCAAGATTCGGCATTAATAAAGACATTCAGGCGTTTTGAGGAAGGATCGGAATACGAGACAGTTACGTTGAAGTGGTGCACGCCGCGCGGCTGTAGCGCGTCGGAGATGCAGAACTGCACGGCAATGTACCGAATCACACCAGTGGACGTCAATAGCCGACCATCATCTTGTTTGATTAATTTTCTATTGAATGGTAGATCGGTAATGCTGGAAATGGCCAGAAAGGCCGGTGGAAAAACTATTTCCCATTTATTAGCAGCGCACGGTGGCGAGATTTTTATTCATACGTTATCTACTGCTCGAAGCGTACTGGAGGATCCACCCTCCATTAGTGAAGGGTGTGGTGGTCGTGTCACGGATTATAGAATAACCGTAGGATGCTTTTGTAATTACTGTATTTTGTATTAAGGATTACAAATTTAATTAATTAGTCCATTACTACCAATTCCATTGTTGGAAACACTATCATGTATTAAAAATTCTACATGTGTTAATTTTATACTTGATAAATATTTATTTTTTATTAGGAATAAAATATAACTTGCGATACAACTGCCTTAATTCAATAATATTTTTGTTACAGGATTTTGGCACTCTCATACGAAATAACATATTAGTACCGTTAAAACGTACTTCCACTTCTAGTACTGATGGTCTAGTAGAAAAGATGAGATCGAGACTGGAACGTCATACCAAATATTGGCCCATGACTTTTTCTCGTACTCTCATGTTTAATTTAAAACATGTTTGTATATAAAGAAAATGCTAATAATAATTATATTATAATAGTAGATTTAAATAATATAATTAATAAATCTTAAAATATTCTGATTAAATTTTTTAGTTTATCTTAATAATATAGAGAGATTTTTAATTATTTTACAATTTATGAAAATTCAGAAAATTAAATATGTAAAAATTTTGAAGATCTTATATTTAAATATTAAATTCTTTAATTTAAGAAAAATTGACATTAGATATTTTTAAATTCTTCGTATAGATAGATCCGCTTCCAGAAATAATGGTGAAGGATGAGCTCACCACGGAAGAAGTGCTCCAGTGTAAACAAATAATTTTTAGTTTGCTCGGGTTAGAGGCAAAACACGAAGCCTTGCCTTTGCCAAACATCGGCGGAGGTCGCGGCGGGAAAGGAGTACGCAGAGAAGAACATTATCGTTTGTTATGGGATGAAATAGAAACGTTTCTTAAACATCATGCTAACAACTCGGCCGCACATACTGAGGTCCTTAATTGTTTGTTGGAGATCAGGAATAAAGACGAAAAGGACAAAGTAGAACTCGATCAGGCTCTACGGGAATTAGATAGGTAATTAAAAAATTTAATTTTTTTTGTAAATTACAATTTACTTATTAAACTAAATTGAAATTTTTGAATTACTACAATAATTGCACTTTTACATTTTTCCGTATTATATTTTTAATTTGTTGCTGCTTCTTAATTCTAGTCTGTAGTTTATTGATAGGTGAATGTCAATTTTACTACACTTTATAATAAATTCTATACAGGAAAAAAATAAAAAAGAATGTTCAGATGTCATATAAAGTATTGTAATTGATATTATTTTTAATGCACTATTATAAAAGTCACATTATAAATTTATATTTTATTATTGTTAGTTTTATTTTCTTAGATAAAATTTTGTGTAAATTTTTGTTGTAAATTGATTTGTAAACGGAAACAAATGAGAAAGATTTATTTG